ACAATTATCAAAAACCAGACATGCATTTGTTTCTGGGCAGAACTGCAAAGTCGGTTGGATGGATACCATGCACTGTATAAATTCACCATTTACAGCGTATTTATTATTATTGAATCAGTTAGAATATTAAATTGTGACAAATATTTCCGAACCCAATTATGATGCGAGATGGATTATCAGCGCGTTATCTGAGGCAGATCAGAGCCAAGCATAAGTCGAACGCTAGCCTTATCATTACTTCAGCAGCAACCTGAGCACAGCACTTGTCCCAGGAACCATCGACCTGTTCTTCTACACGTCTGCAGTCATCACACAGAACTGAAAACTGTTACCAAAACTGTCTAAAAATTAAGGGAATTCACAGGAAATAGCTAGTTCAATAAGTCGATAATTATGTTGCAGTACAAGTTCCAAATCAATTGATGACTCTATACCTGTAGTTTGCTGCCCGTCATGTTCCGAGCCGGGTTGGGCACGAATCACAGAGCTGAAATGATTTTCTAAACGTCATAGTGTCACTTTCACATCAGGGGATTGAAGAACTTGCGACTGTGGCACTTCTTTCGATAGAGGAAACCAAAGGGAGGAGCTTAACTCAGCCAACTGTCCATAGCGGGGTACATGAATTTCTTGCTGGAGTCCCACCCATGGGTATCTTATCGACGTAACCAGACCCACTAATAGACCCCTAAGAAAATTCAGTTTTCATCATGAGTGATTCTGTGGGGATGAAGAATAAAGCGTGAAGCAGCCGGAAGTGGTCAATTCCCTCTTGAATGCGCGACGCATTCACTTCCACTCAGAATCGCAGGGGCAATTTAGGATGCGAGTTGACCTATACAATGACTTGCGAGGTTCGGCCATGAACAATTTCTCCTTCCCAAGCCTACTCACCGGGAAGACGTGGAGGGCTTGTGCCCCAGACGAGGCACTACCCAGGATTTCATCGTCAGATCGCTCGCGTGGTAAGAGTGTCACTAGCCATTATACCAGTCGATGACGATATTAGTGTGGAAAGCCTTTTTGTAGGTGAAGTCTCCCTATTACCTAGATAGAAAATGATATACAACTCAAACTCACCATCCACAACGTTTCGATGAAACCACTTCGACTTTGGGAAGGAAATCGAGGTCACGAGGAAGTGTTCGTTCGCCGTCATACGGTGGTGGCCGATTTGATTGACTTCCACCCTGCACGGTCGATTCCTGAAGGTCTACTGGTTAAAAATCGTGGTTGTGAAGTGTTACAGGAAACAAACAAAGAATCAATAAAGTACGAAACTCGTGGGTTTTATGAAATCATACCTCTCCTTGCGATGAAGTCTGGGCCTTTACCTCGTCGTAGGGAGGAGGAGCATCGTACATGGAGGCGCTGGGATGCATTTCCCTTGAAAGGCTAACACCGAATATGTTCGAAAAAAACAGAGACATTTTAACAGTCTACTCGTAAATGAGTCGGCTAATTTCCCCCAGTGAAACGTCACTGGCAGGGTGCAAAGGAAAAGGCATCGCTGGTTATATGACGTTTTCGAAGATTCGTCCCTTACGCTTATTCCTAATCGCAGTCGCTCTCGATTGTGTTTCTGAGCCGTAAATCGCGCGGTGACCATCTGATGTGTAAATCAATATTTTTATCCTCAAATATGGTGCTGAATAGGATATAAATTACAATGGTTCCAAGGTCCAGGGATTCAAGCATCAGTTGGTATTAGGCGGTAATAACTTTCAGAATTTGAACTAGAGACAATATTTGCGCTTAGCGCCTCCGCACTACATCACTTTTTAGTAATAAATAAAAACAGGTTCTTAACTGCTGCAAATAGGTCAGATTTTATCATCTTGACCTGTATTGAAACACAAACACGGCCGAAAAAGGTTGTTTCGGTCTTGGTGAGAGCACTTATATGGAAGCGGCTGATTCATATGTGTGCACGCAAAGATAAGCTAGCGATAACTGAGCTCGTGAGCGATAAGACGACTGTCACAGAATGATCTCATGAGAATTATTTTTCTTCTCTTTTTTTTCTGTAGCAGCTTTGAATCAATTCCGAGGGTTATGTACGTTTAGTATCATCATCAATGCTCGCTCCCCTACTTTTTGAAGTCCATCCACCTTTCGCACTAAGGCCGATGTCTAGACTTTGCGAATCGACCGATTCGCTAGCGTCCGCGGTCGCGTCGCGGCCAGCGAATCGCTCGATTGCCGTGGTACCGCAACGCGACCGCGGACGCTAGCGAATCGCTAGTAGCGAGTCGCTCGATTCGCAAAGTCTGACATTGGCCTAACGCCATCCCTTTCAGCATGTGTCTAGCATTCGACTAGCTAGAATCTCAACGAGTTTCGTGCTTATTTGGCCTGCCCAAGAAATGTGTCCACATTTCTTTTCGGAAACAATGTCCCAATCCTTCCATTGTGTTGTACCAAAGTTTTTCTCAGACCTTCACCTTTTTTTCAATTTTTATGTTGCCGCATACTTGAGAACATTAATGTCTGTATTTTTTGAGTTTTCGACGGTTTCGTCAATTTTCTTGACTGGGTCCAACCTCCTCCTTCTTTCATTATCAAGCGCTTTCGCAAGCTGACCATGCGCCGTAATTTTAAACTCACCCCACATTCTATTTCAAGCGCTGCCTTCGCAGCCTTATGCGATCATAGTTTGAATGGAATGGTGCTAGAATAATGTTACGCTTACTATCTGAACTTGCTGCCTCCACGGCTGAACGCAGCTGACTCTTAGAATCTGACTATACAAGAAATCCAAGAGATGTTCAATTAAGAACAAGTCTGCCAGTCGGTATGAATAAGCTGTATGCATGGAGATACACAAAAATAATTGAACTCGTGTCCCCATTAGTCCTTATAGGAAAATATGGCGCTTTCATCAAGCCATTCTCATACATATTTGAGGTGAATTTTTGCCGGTGAATTGAATAAGAAGCACCGCCAAAAGAGCAGTATAATATGTTGTACCGGAAAGATTCTTTGCGTTTTTGCACACTGCCATACCTTAATTATTCTATCAACAAGAAAACATATTAGGAAACAAAGTAATCACCATCACGTTCTATCACTCTTCGCCATTTGTCGGGCAGACTTTTGATGCCTTTGGCAAAGAACTTTTCTGGCGATTCAATAAAGTTGCTAAACCAGAGCTCAACGTGCTTCGAAAAACCGCGAGAACTTTCCCTTAGCAACGCTAATACTGTCAGCACGTAGTGAAAGTATCACAACACAATCGCTGAAGTCACTCTTTTAATTATAACACATATGCAACATCCATGTTCATAAGCGACCGACACCACGATTCCAGCTGCCATGATTCGAGAAAATCCACGACAGTCAATGTCACCTCAGTAACCCCCTGGATCGAGCAAAACATAAACCCCACTTGTCAGCGAGAAGTCTATATTGGATGCGGTGACAGCACGCCACCACGTCCCTGCCGTAGTGGCTCAACAGCGACCGAAGTTTAAGCTTTCTGGATTCGTCAATTGAATACGTCATGCTCTGAAATGCATTTTTTTTGTCTTTAGGATTGATCATCAGTTACCCTCCCCCATACCCCCACCCCGGAAGACTGGTTAGAAAGGATGCCACGATAGCTCAAAGGTCGAAGAATGGGAAATCTAACTAGTGAGAAAGCAGGCGAGCCCCTGAGATTGCGGGACGATGCGCGTTTCGCAGCAGGGTATGCTCTCACCGGCTTACTAGGACTCTACTGACGATGTTCGCGACGTAACACGCTTCTTCCTTTCTGGTGGACCCTAATAGCGGTTACCAGCCCTTTCCATTGAGACGCAGAGCAGAACGCCACGTTAGTGACGTCAGCAACGATGAGATCTCGCCCTGGTGAGAAATCCGGGCAAGAGTTTTTAGAGAGTTCTAGAGTTTAAACCCATCCCTTTCAAGCTTCCACTTCTAATTCCAACAATACATGATCATAAAGCTTAAGACTGCAGTCATATTTCGTTTATTGTCATAGTCAAAATTTTGATAGAAAAACTGCTTTTAGGGACAATTTTGCCCATTTTGTGCGAGAGTTGGGCGCGCCAAAAAGAGGCGTGGTCCCACGCTAAATGCCAATCTCAGCATGTCGTCCGTCCAATAGGGTTAATTCATCAAACCTTCGCTTGGCTTCTGCTGATTTGTTTCCAGAATAAAATTACAGCGTTTCTATGTGTGCACAATTCTGCCATCAAGTGGGCACTCCAGTCTAAAAAGGTCCCAAAGCTGTACTCTTGACGACGGAATCGGTACACATGTATACCAGCAGTAGTCAAAGGTTTAATCACAAAGTTCTGAAGTATGTTGACATAATCGTTGCAAAAAACACCCAAACATGAATGAAATCTCGCAATCTGCATGAGGCTTTACAAGGCACATATATTTATCCGCAAGAGTGATCACTTGAGTAATATGAGTTGCCTGCGAAACAAAGTAAGAACACCTGCGAAAAGCATGATCGCGGTCCTTTATAACAGTTAGTGAAGAAAATGTACAACACTCAAGATTTGCTCTTAAGATTGCTCTTTAAATATAACACATATTCAAAAAACATTTCCTCCGTCAGCGCTGACACCAACTTTCCAGCAGCCATGATTTCAGAAGACGAATCCATGACAAGTGATATTATCTCCCGTTATCGAGCAAAACTCTACCCCAGTCGTGAAGGAGAAGTCTAACGGATGTGGTGCGCAGACTACCAGCACGTCCCTGCCGTAGTGATTCAACAGCGACCGAAGTATGAGCTCTCTGGACTCGTAAATCGATGACGTCATGCTCTGAAATGCCTTGTTTGTTTTAAGGTGCTGATTTTCAGTTATTAGGAGATTGCGAGGAAGGGTGTCGCGATAAAATTGGAGGTCGAAGAATAGAATATATATATACTTACCCTTAGGGGGGAGGCTGGTGAGCCTCCTGAGAGTTCTGCCTTGCCGTCAGACTCTGGCCGTGGATACCAGCCCTCTGGTAGAGACGCAGAGCAGAGCGTTCACATTGGTGACCTCAGCACCGATGGAACTCGCCCAGTGCGCAAATCAACGGGCCGAAAAGTGCTCCCATTTCTTGGGTTCTGGGCCGTTTTCTGGATTTCTTCTTCCTCCCTGCATTACTGACCACCTACACCTTGATTTCTTACGGGCTGCTTTTTCATCGTGAACCCCGACTTGAACCTGCTCTTCCCATTTCGCACACACTTCCGTGAATTCATAGCTAAAATTGTCGTCGCATGCAGTTGGGCCAGATCTCAGTATTCAGGCCAGCGCTGCTTGTCTGACGTCCTACTGTGAGCAACAGCAGGTAAGGGCTAGCCGCTGACGCTGTCGCAGTCATAAAAACGTGTACGATTCCCATGAAGTAACTCACGATTAACGATTTTAAGAGCGAGGAAAGCAGTCCTAGTAGAGTTCTCGCTTTTGCCTCTCAACATAGCCTCTGTCTCACCACTGCGAAAGACTGGCCACAATAAGCGGACGACGAGCGAGCGCTCACGCAGCGGCCAATCAATCTTCACATCGATAAGGGCAGAATCCTACTATATATAATCCGCTAAGTATGTCTGTGCGTGTGTGTAGGTCTGTGTGTGTGTTTGTCACGAAATTCATAGCTCGGGCACCAGTGGTCGTCAGGAGTTGGTTTCAAGATATGATATAGGGGTGGGACGGGAACATATTTGGTGGGGAAGAAAGTGATAACAACTGATTAAGGGCTGGTCCATCATATTCTCTACGACTGAATATTTCCTTATCAAACGAAGAAAACGCAATTCGTACTATTAGGTACCGGATATCTTAGTGTCGCTTTTCTGAGTTCAGGAAGTTTTGGGGCCGATTACT